GTACTTTCCAACCTTAATGATTCTATTCTAGTTTTACTTTCATTAAAAAATAATCCAGCCACCAAGCCAGGAAACATGAAATTAATTATTACTTTACCCTTGATTGGTTTAGTGATGGACTTGGTAGTGTTAGGTTAATGGTTGGACTGGATGATCTTAAAGGTCTTTTCCAACCTAAATGATTCTACGATTCTATGTAGCAGTCAGGCCACTGCAAGTAGTGGCTGACTCCTTGGGTATTAGAGAAGTTTTGTGTAGCTATCATAGAATTAAAGAATAGTTCAGGTTGGAAGGCACCTCTGAAGATCATGTAGTCCACCCCCATGCTAAAAGCAGGGCCGAGTAGAGCAGGTTGCTCGGGGCCATGCCAGCCAGGTTTGGAATATTTCCAAGGACAGAGACTTCACACCCTCTCTGAGCGACCTGCTCTAGTGTTTGACCAACCTCATAGCAAAAAAGGGCTGGTTTTTTTTCTTGTGTTTAGGTGGAATCTCCTGTGTTTAAGTGGAATATCCTGTGTTTAAGTTTGTGCCCATTACCTCTTGTCCTGTCTCTGGGCTCCCTTCAGAAGAGTCTGACTCTTGTCTTTACTCCCCCTATCAGGTTTTTATATACATTGGTAAAATCTTCCTGAGCTTTCTCTTCTCCAGGCTGAAGAGTCCCAGCTCTCTAAGCCTCTCCTCCTATGTCAGGTGCTCCAGACCCTTTATCGTCTTCGTGGCTCTTTGCTGCACTCCCTCCAGGGTGTCCCTGTTTCTCTTGTCCTGGGAAGCCCAGAGCTGGGCACAGCGCCCCAGGGGTGTCTCGCCAGTGCTGAGTAGAGGGCTGGGTGTCCCAGCCACCTGCAGTGTGGTAATTAAAGCTGTGGCTGAAGTTTTCGTAGTAGACTTTTTGCATGACAGCAGAACTAGTTCAGATTCAGGATAAGGGGATGCAGCCCTGGTTGCCTGAAATCCATCTGCCTTTAGAATTTATTTGTTTTAGTATGGTATATGTTGCATGCTTTTGCCATGTGGCTTTGAATCTTGCATACATCCTGAGTGTCGATTTTGCTCTGTGGTGGGCTTATTTTAGTGTGACTTCATTGACTTAGGGAGAATTATTATCCTGGTTTCCACTAGGGTAAGTGACAGTTGTCAATAGCAGATGGAGAAATTGTGCCACACTAGCTGCATTTTTACAGGGACAGGTCACGTGCTCTAAGAATAGCATTGGGGGAACACATGAATGTCTTTCTAAACAGTACAGCAGTGACAGATCTTTGCTCAATATCCACAAAGGTCCTGCAGCCAGCACCTTTTCCTTAAGGGTGTGTTCTTTCCTTTCCTGTAGTTGTTAATTTGCATATATTACACTATGTCAGTATTTGGAATTACCTTCAAACAAATGGGAGACAGCAGAAGTCTTGGAATGTGGGACTCGGCCTGCTTGATTAGAAATGGAATGCGTATGAACAGTATCCATTTGTAGGATCATACATCCCCAGGATTTTTTTCATTTACTTTCCTCACTTTAAAAGGAAGTTCTTTTTTTCTGAATATTTGGCATTTTTGTTTAGGGGGAAAAAAAATCTGAAAAGGTGACAGGCTTAAATTGACTACTCTTCTTACCTTCAGGTACAACATTGAATGCTCCAAAATGAAGGAAATGAACAAAGAATTTCATACTATTGTACTACCTTGCAGAGTCAGTGTGAGAAACTATTCTGTGTCGCTGTCAGTTTGAAAAAATAAATTGGTTTGCATGGTGCTCCATGCTGTTTCAAATTAGATTACTTGCAAAAGAATTATCTCCTTTGCAGAGGACTCGGATAGTTACTGTGTATTTTGCAGATTGTATTTCACAAACTAGGATGAAGTATTGTTTTGCTTTTCAACTAGGAAATTAAAAAAAATCATACCCTTGGTAACTGACAGCTTTCTTAGTCATGTTATGCATTGTATGCTGTGTGGTACATACTAATATCAATACATTTGTTAGGCAAAAAGAAAAAATAATGCAGTAGCTAACTCCCTTAACTGTGGGAGTTCCCTGAGCATGTAACTATTTCTGTGTGATTTATCAGTGGGTTGACAAACCTTTCCATGCACTAAAACCCTTTGATTATTCCCATATTCATAATTGGTATGGCTTGAACTCCTGGTATCAGTTATCAGCTTTTCCCTCAGAATATTTCTTAAAATACGCTGATAGAAGTTGATTCTGAAGACATAAAGCCTGGCACTTAGTACTATGCAAAGTTCAAATATCCCTTTGTATGTGGATAAATGCAGGAATGTCGAAAGCTAATGCCCATTTCATTCTTGAGTACTGCACACTGACTATCATAGAAATCCTATTTTTCCTGGGAAGCCTTTTATTATTTCCCTTATGATTGGCGTGACAGTTCATCAGTGTTTTGTAAAAGAAGTTAGAAATTCTGTGCAGTGATGAAAATAGTATCTTGTGCTTTTTACTTCTGTAGTCTGGCCATTTGTGAAGCCTGTATGGTAGACTT